TGTCATGGTGCATCTAAGCCCACTAGTTCCCTAACAAATTGCTTTCTGGGGTTAGAAACATGGAGGAAGTCATGGAGAAGGAACAAAAAGGATGAAGACTTCAAAAGCTTTCAAAATGTTATTACACTGATGGTTAAAACAAGCACAGTGTTGAGGCAAACTGCAACATATTATACCCGGAAATTCTACTCTATGTTTGAGGAAGAGTTACTTCACGGGCTATGTGGATTGACAGGCGATTCCTCTGAGAGTCCATCTGAATTCAATGTTAGAGGTTTGGATAATCAGGACACAAGTAGAGTCTGGCTTGTTACATTTGATAGACTTAATTGCGACATTACCTGCAGTTGCAAGTAATTTGAAATGACAGGTCTGCTTTGCTCTCACTGTCTACGCGTCTTTAATGCTAATAATATAACAAAGATTCCCAAGAAATATTTGTTATTCAGATGGTCTGCTAAGGCAAAGAAATATATTTATAATAGCTTTGGATACAAACATATGGAAAACTCTTGGGCTCAAATGTCTGGCACAACATCCAGATGAATCCTATTTCGGTCACATGCTCAAAAGTTTGCCTACCAATTAATTAATAAAGCTAACGGAAATGAACGTGTCGAGACATATATAATTGAATTATTGAAAACAGGGTCCAAAGGTATTGTGTATTGAGGATATATTAGATGGAAATGATTCTAAACCAAATAGGCCAAACAAAAAGAGGAAATCCCATAACAGTGATTGCAATGTGAATGATCCTACAAAAATGAGACCGAAAGGTATTTCTAATGCGAAGTTGAAAGGACACTGGGAAAAAAACAAGATAGCTAAAGGTATATATTTCTACATTACATATATTTACCATTCTACATTTCATATACTAACGATTATATGTAAAATTAATTGTCTTATTATTTTACCACTGTTCGCAGGAAAAAATCAAGAAACATATATGACACAAGAATCGCACAGGAATTATGACGCAGATACGATTGCGGCGTCAAACTCTCTGAGTCAGGAAATTGTCACACCGAATCCAACATGCTCTGTGCCCAATATAATTCACCTGTTATAACATGTTATGCCCACATTAACTCATCTGTATTAATGTACAAGTTCATATAACATTATTCCAATTGGAAGTTGTAGATATATGGTTTGTAATTTATCTGTCTGTTGAGTACAAAATTTTGTTATATGCTTGTGGAATAACTCAAGAGTAACCTTACAATACCCTAACCGTAACCTTAGAATACTCCGATAATAACCTTAGAATACCCCAAGGATAATCTCTTAGAATACCGACAATAACCTTACAATACCCCGAGAGTAACCTAAAAATACCCCAACAATAACCTTACAATACATCGGGAATAACCTGAGAATACCAATAACCCCCCAACAATAACCTTACAATACATCGGGAATAACCTGAGAATACACCGAGAATAACCTAAGAATACTCTGAGAATGATATGAGAATACCCCAAGAATAACTTGAGAATCCCCCAACAATAATCTTAGAAAACTCCAAGAATAACCTGACAATACCCGAAGAATAACCTAATAATGCCCCGAGAATAACCTGAGAATACCCCCGAGAATAATCTAAGAATACTTGAGAATAACCTGATAATACCCTAAGAATAACCTAATAATACCCCGAGAATAACCTGAGAATACCCCGAGAATAACCTGACAATTCCCTGAGAATAACCTGACAATACCTCGAGAATAACCTGACAATACCCCTGAGAATACCCCAAGAATAACCTGACAATACCCGGAGAATAACCTGAGAATGCCCCGAGAATAACCTGACAATACCCGGAAAATAACCTAATAATACCCGAAGAATAACCTAATATTACCCCGAGAATAACCTCAAAATACCCCAACAATAACCTTACAATACCCCGGGAATACCTGAGAATACACGGAGAATAACCTGACAATACCCGGAGAATAACCTGCCAATACCCGGAGAATAACCTAATAATACCCCAAGAATAACCTCAAAATACCCCAACAATAACCTTACAATACCCCGGGAATAACCTGAGAATACACCAAGAATAACCTGACAATACCCGGAGAGTAACCTGACAATACCCGAAGAATAACCTGAGAATACCCCAAGAATAACCTCAAAATACCCCAACAATAACCTTACAATACCCCGGGAATAACCTGAGAATACACCGAACCTGAGAATACACTGAGAATACACCGAGAATAACCTAACAAGATAACAATACATCAACAATAACCCAGGAATAACCTAACAAAATAACAATACATCAAACATATAATACATTTATTCTCCAAATTGATGTATACAAAATAATAATATATCAAACAGCTTAGTCCTGTAAGATAAACCTACACAAAATAACAATACATCAAACCGATAATACATTTATTCTCCAAATAATATGTATCTGCAGATTTCATATACTAGTTCTGCCCTAAACCAAGGCATCTCAG